GGCCGAAAGGAAGTGATGCATTAATTTCGAGTTACCCTTCGAATTCCCTTCAACCCCCATACGTGTAACCACTACAACGGCAACGGGAGCAGCGAGTAGCCAGTTACCCCGAGGTGTTCGGAACGGCTGGTAATTTGTAGGTAGATATACGATAGACAATAACACCGGTGAGGGGCGGCAACGCCGACTAATTTGTTTATCATAACTTTATCTTGATTTATTGTGCCCACGGTGCACGCCCGTTTCGTAACGCCAGTCGCGCACATTTGTACGCTCCCTTTGACGTATTTACACGCGCATGAATTAAAAAAAGGAATCGCCGGGAAGAATTCGGGCAATCTCGTCGATTCCTCACAGGTCTGGTTGAAATCTAGATTGAACGTCAATCTCGCGACTCGAGTGCTCAAGTAATTCACTCGTTTATTTAATAATTCATTTAATCATAATTCACGAGTTCGCGCGCCGTTTATTTATGCGGCGCACCTAAGAACCGTATCTTACCGTAACGAGTCTCGCATCTGCTCGCTTGATGTATGGTTCAAAATTGAAACGATGTACAACATTTTTATGTAGCGGGATATTTTAAAAGTGCTGATTGAATCTCGGTCGATGAAGATTAATGTCGAATGAGCAAATAATCTATAGCTCGATAAAAACGGAAATAAAATACCGAGGGCTCCCTTGCAAGATTACAAGATTACGGTGCTCCTCGGCAATTATATAGATTCCCCGATTGTTTCATCGCGCGTAAATTACCTTGCTGGGAAAAATGCAGTCACGAACCGACGAGCCCAGCGACTGGAAAGCAGTGCGACAAGATAAAAAGCATAGTCGCCACGAGTCGCTTGGCTGGTTCGCGTCGGGTAGCTAATTTTTTAAAGAGCACAGCGAAAAAAAGGGGAGTGTGAACAGGCGGAGTAACCCCCTGGCTACGCTTTTTCCTTTTAGTTACCCTCTCTGTCCGTCTTTCTTCGCGCTGCAGCTCGATCGGCGTGCACGCAACCCGTTTGGAAGAGCTTCGTGGCCAGCTCGTATTTCTCGCCCTCCAACAAGATACCAACCACCTTCAACCCCATCCTCGTACCTTCACCCACACCGATGCACCGGCTCTAGATAACGTCTCGTACGTACTGGGGTGTTCGAAGTTGGGGTAAAAGTGCCCCGTACACACCGACCGAATGACTAACGTGGCACACCCACCGACCAACGTGTTTTCGTACCCGCTAGAACCTATTCGGGACACCGGGTATCGTGGTACGTGTTCACGTACGGCCGTCTACAAGCCAGGAGAGGACACCAATACGAGGAAAAGGGTGAACCTGTGTATATAACCGACATCAAACCAGCCACGGTGCAAGCCCTGTAACGCTGCGAGTGCTATCTGGCCAACTATCGGTGATCCTTGGCGCGAGACGGACCCACGGGGAACGAAGAATGGAAAACAGGCGGAAGGGGTGGTCTCTGCGAGTCACGGATACCTTGAAATTCTACCGGCAATGGGAAATCTTTCGCGCATCCGTGAAATATTCCCGCGGAATGCTACGATTTTTCGAGAACGCGAGAAGCATCGGAATTACAAAATTATTAATGGCAATCTTTAAAATTCTCAGATTTACAAATTCCTCCACGTTTACATCTTTCATAGGCAAGTCAAGTGCTCATCGATGTATACTTAAATTAATGGTATAACAGAAATATATTGATCTTGGGAAAAAATATAAGTTGAAAGGGGAGGTTTACAATTTTTTAGGAATAAGGTATTCATTAAGAGAAAGAATTATGGTAGCTCGCAATGAAGCTCGGCACGAAGGAAAGTGTCAGCGAACAGAAAGTTTAAGGGATGGAGGAAAGGGCCGTGTCAACTCGAAGAAAACTTAGACCGTCTCGAAGTGTTTGCGGGAGCGTTTCAACCCCCTTTTGGATACTTGGAATACTTAGCCTCGCGTGATCTTACGATGGAAGACACTCTAAGGTACAACGAAGTTCACAGACTGGTTTCTTAGAATCTCATGCAATGTCTGTAAATCACAAAGATTTTGTACAAAATTGTGAACAATGGTGTCGCTAAAGAAATGGATTTTTAATTTGGTTAAAGATGTGATGCCACGACTTTCAATGTGTAGACTCGTACACATCTTTAATAGACTTGATAGACAAAATATTTGATAGTTTCTTTCGATACGAAAAGTTCAGTTTCTTCGACGAAGCACAACACTTGATAAATTTGTAATCTGGAGAAAAGGCAAAGAATCTTGAGTATAAGGGAAGCTTAACATCCGGTAAGGCCCAGCGAGCCTCCTCAAATATTAGAGGAGGACCGCTGGGTCCCCTTTGAACTCGAATCCCCCAAAATTTCTATGGCGAATAATCGGAGACAGCTGGCACGATGCGAAATCAAGTAGCGTAATAATGCCTACCGAGACTCGCAGCATCCAGAGCGAGGAAAATAAAGAAAGGAAAAAGGAAGAAAATGTACTGCTCCCTCGGATTCGAGATTCCCGCCCGTTTTATCCCCCTGTTCGACGTTTTATTTCAAATATTTACGGAGGAAAAATATTGGTGAGCTACCGTTTCGTTTCGAATCGTATCCTTTTTACCGATGCAAGTTTTCATTTCCTTTAAAAAAACTGGCCAATAAAAGACGTTATAAAACGATTAATTAAAGGAGTCATAATTTCATTTGATTTACGCACGATATCTTATTGTTTGATCGTCTCCATGAAACCAGAACGACTTCCTCCTTCCGCTAATCCCACAATTGTCCGCTAATTAACAGCGGAGTCACGAAAATTTTTACTACCTTCTCGTTTCAAAAATTCAACGTTTAGCTAGAACGATTCGTGAAAGACAGGTCGTGTAAAAGTGAACGAATCGACTAATAAAGCGATATCTCGGCCATTCGAAATATACACGATCGCATCTCCAGCGATTAACACGGTCGTGTACTCGCATTTCGACACCGGCCTCTCGCAAAATAAATGACGCACCGTACGACCGTGATGGGTATGCTAATCGCGTGGGCCCGCTGTAAAATTTGTTCGTCAGCTGCGCTCGTTCCAATGATCAGCAACAAATTCGACGTTAACGAACGAAATTAATCCCTGTGTCTGTGATACCGCGATCAATTTACCTACGATTTCGATAACCATCGCGATCAACGGTAAGCCCGAAAGCTTTCATTTTAGTATATTTCAATTTTCCCCGATTTACAAACGTTATCTCTTGCAAACACCATAAAGTACGTGTAATTTTTATAATAACTAATTGGTCATAACTAATAATATAAAAGACTACAACAGTAATACAGAATACGTAACTACTTATTATGAGTACAAAGTAAATGCAGATATCTAGAAATATGTTTATGAATCCAGTTATCTAGAGATCTAGAAAAGTATACGTGTAAATATAACACAAACACATTTCGCTTTCGTATATATCGAAGGAGATTCGCGCGAAAAACGCGATCTTGAGTGCAAAAGAAAAACGAGGTAGCTTAGGAGGTAAAAATAAAAACGAAATGAGAGGAGAAAAGTGACGGAAGCAGCCTGGTATCGGGCAGTTTATCCCGCGGGAGGAGCTACGATACAATGAATAAAGAACGAAGCAGCTTGGTCGAGCGAACCCTGTGAACGAGGCCTTATTGGGATATTAATCGTTGTACCAGGCGAACGCCCTATCCCCGAGTGTTTGCACGAGGTTTGAAGAGGCTGCAACACCAAAGCTGCCTTGCAGCGAAACCCTCTCCGTAAAACCCCCCTCCTTTTAAGCGCAACGAAACACTACAAGACCCCTTCTCTAACCCCTCCAACGTGTTCCTCTTTTCCAAGCCGTGATACTCGAAAAGCCTAAGCACTACCACGCTCGAATACTGTTCGGATACTTCGGACACACTCGAGCCAAACCACTTAGGTAACTAGCATACACGTTTGAGCTAGGTAGGCAGCTTGATAGGCGCGTTGCACGAATGCTTCGAAATAATGGCCTCGTCGATAGGCACGCTGTTTATAAAACATCAACGGGCCGAGCTAATTGTTCGCTAATTTCCAGTGCCACTTGTACGCTCGTTCCTCGATTAAAATGCGTCGGGGTAGACGGTGAACAGTGTATAGGGTACCGGATCAAACTTTTACATATGTCGTTTCCCTCCTGCGATACATGTTGCGACAGGGATGTTTAGAAACCGTTTGGGAAATCGTCTTTGATCTCGACCGACCTTCCCGCGATCCGTCGCTACGACGTTGATCCTGATTTACGATAGAAATGGAGCGTGCATTTTATGGTGTATTTAAACCTTATTGCTCGCGTTCACATGGTACATCCTGCGTTTAGATTATGTCTTCGATTTCAATGATATTCGCGTGAAGCGACTTATCTTGGAATACAAGCAATCTTATAATTTAGCCTTAAATAATCTCGCTGTTGAAGTTAGTTCATTTAGACCTAGGAATCAGGACGAATGCTTAATAAATGGATAACTATGATTGCCCTATACACCCTACCCTCGCAATGAATTTGAAATTAAACTCAGAATTTTTATATTTAATCAGAGATTCGTCTCTAATAAATAAGGTGGGTCGTCGGGGACCCAAACAGGGCAGAACACGTTGAAAGAAGCATGGAAATTGAAATGGTAACGAGTGTTTCGCGAATACTTGTGTCACGCTTAGCTCACGAGGGCATTCGAACGCGACGGGTGTTTTAATCCGTTTAGTTGCCAGACTGCGGAGACGCGCCTTCTTCGTTTCATCCGCTCATAAAATCTGGCTAATTGCGCCAAGTCATTCGTCTCGTAATTCTTTTCCCACCGTGGAATATCCAATTTATAAACGCAAATCTGAATGCGCGATTCAATCTACTAATTTGCGATACTTAGCTGTTTTGAACCAGCATCAAAAATGGAGGTCCGAAAGAAATTTTATAAATTCTTCGATAGAAAATTCTGATGTTTCGTATGCAAAATTTATAAGAAATAATTTGAAGGGAGTACAAATACTTACGAATCTCGTGAAAATGTTGCGACAGCTCGTTCGTTAGCCCCGTGATCTGAGCACGTCTCTGCCTTCCAGTAAATCCTGAACACTTTCACCAACCCCAGTTAACCCGGGACTCGAAACGGCAGAGTTTGATCTACTTGATCCTGCAGTTTGTTCGACTAACGCAACCTAGCGTTAGGAAGCTTCTTCGATCTTCATAACGATACGCGACGGCCATCGACAGTTCGGCAACCACTTCCAAAATGTCTCTCGGATCGGCCGTCGACATTATCGAAAACACCATATCAGTCTTGTCCCTTCGATTCTCCAGCGTGCGTCATTGTCAGTAACGCTTGATTCACCAAACGTTTCAACAAATTGATACTTCCTCCTCTGTCAGCTTCACGCTCATTCCGTCGGACTCCGTTTTTCAATGTATCCAAGATATTTCATTTAAAACGACGACGTACGTCTGAACGAGTCTTATCCTTCATTCTAACCAAAATTTACCAACGTGTAATGGTGCGTCGAAACAATTGGACATTCTGATTTAACGTCTACCGCGATGATCCTTCTGGAACCTGATCACTTTTCCATGCGATGTCAGCTTGATCTTCATGGAACAACACTGTCAGTCGAATGCACAGACGAATTGCTCGCGTACCTTACTATAGAATGTCGCTGTCCAAACTTGTGCTATCTGGTGAACTTAGCACACGATCACCAGGAGATGTTAATTTTCGACGGAATCGTCGCGATTTCGTTCGTTAAATCGTTGGCGGATGATCGACGGTGATCATGAACGATCCGTTGTCCGTTGGAGGCGCCGTTTGCCGCTGCTGACGTGTGTGCGGTGGCTGCTGGCGAGACCCAACGAAGGTTCCAGCTGCAGGCAGAAGGGTAAAGGGAGGTCACGAGTCGAAGGTAGCAGCAACCACCAATGGGGCGGTGCTAGGGGCGGAGCAATGAGCAACCTAAAAACACGCCCATCTAGTTGCACGATCATAGGCTGCAACACCCCAAGGAGAACGCTTCATCCCTGTCACTCTCCGTCACCTTCTATCGCTCGTCTTTTTCCTCCGTGCAGCCTGGCCACGTTCTTTTCTACCCTGCTTTTTTCCCTCATTCAATTGGGACGAAGGCGACACGGAGAGCGCGGCGACGTTAAAAGTGCAGGCGGAAGTTTCTTGCTCGCGTTCGACACTTTTCATCGATCCTCTCTTCTTTTGGTTACCTCCGGATTAAGGATCGCCGGATTTCGTCACCCTGCTTTTTCCTTTGGAAGATCGAACTATACGCCCGAACGAATAATTCTTTTGATACCAACCATTCGACCGATCGTGACTACTCCTCCGAGCACCAAATCATAAAACACGTATTCGTGCGACGAGAAATAATTAAAATTTTCTAAACTGAAGGTCCAAACCTGCAAATCTCTAAAGAAATGTTCTCTACTCGATTAACGAACAAGTTTTTCGAAAAATTCAAGCTCTTCATCACTTTTTCCGAGTACCTGGCTATCGAGCAGACCACATTAACGACCATTAGTGTGCGTTTTTATTAAAAACAATATTTACTCAAAAATAATATTTGCTTAAAAATATTCGGCGCACGATGAAAGCTGGCGGTGAAATGCATTGAAAAGATTCCCGTGACGGTACGTAGGGTGAGTTGCATCGAGCTTTTAGTAGGGGTTAGAGGAGAAAGAGGGAGAGAGAGTCAGGATCGTGGGGTCGACGAATGAGCCAACGAATGAATACCGAGTATGGATTCGTGAGGAGCCAATAGGGGTGCACGATGTCCTCCCTAGTTCGAGGGAGCCACGCCAATCGGGGACGTCCGTCACCCTCTGGGCTTTTCCTGAGGGGTGGCGATGGTAGAGACGCATAGCCGAGCTTCGAGGGTTCTACCTGGGCTGGCTGATAAAGACAGACAAACCTCTGTCTTCCGTGGCGGATCATGCCAAGCTTTGCCAGGCAGACGACCTCGTAGCAACCACACCTCCACCTTTGCATCCACTTTCATTCACTTACAACCACTTTCTACCGACGCCAATGCTCCGACGCCTTTTCTTAGATTACGCGCCTGTTTCCTACCCTTCTACCACGTCCACTGTGATTAACGGATTATGGAGCTCGCAGCTGAATGCAGGGGTGGAAATACGCTTCTTCCGTACCGCGTTTCTCTACACGCCGTTGAATCTTGCTAACTTCGAGCGATGCAGATTATGTTGAAAATGTATGCATGCATTTTTCTCCTTAGAAAATTCACACTTCTCCCAGAGCTAAACAGATTTCTCTCGTTAATTCCTCTGGCGCACGTTTATTTGCGAATCTTACGTTCGACGAGGTTTTATCGGAGATTGAAGTGGCTAGGGATATAAAGCTTAATTCGTTGTTTGCCTGGTGACGAATTTGGCGTTGGCACACGTGCCGTGTCGTGTGACAAACGTGTGCGACGTAGCGTCATGAGCAAATACTTCAAACACAAAGAAAAATTTAGATTCGAATATCGTTGTCGCTGCTCCGTGTATTTGTATGCTTTATATTTTACACGTAAGATACGACAAAAATAAAATGTGGAAACGATAAGTTTAATAAGGCTGACATTAATGAAATATATAGGTACACGTATAATAAGACCTTATACCGCGTGTATGCGAGAATGTATCTTCATTACGGTTTCACGCTTCTTGGGGCAATCAATTTCAATTTCTCGTCTCGTGTATACTTTTATTGTTTGCCAGCCGCGTCTATGCATGTCCACGTATATTTGCGTCCCAGCCGAATGAAACGGTCAGGCGTGTTCGCGAGTAATCTCGTTTCCGCTCGGTCCACGAAGTTAAACTAGCGAGCATTGGTCCGACCTGGTTGTCGTCGTGTCCACATCTCGTCTGGTCGTCCCTTCCCTTCGTCGTTCTCTTTCCCGGGGTACTTCCGAGGGGTAGAGTTACCCCGGACAATATATCAGTTTACAATGATAAAAAGCAAACACGGGAAATAACGTGAGGAATTACTGAACCAAACAATATGTCCCTCATCTCTGGAGAGACGGCGTATATTTCGACCGAGCAGCCCGGCAGCATCCGACGGAGGGTGTGCCAACACATTTTCCTTACAATACGCCGCGATTCCGCTTTATTTCGTGACGGGGCGATATTACCACGGGGGCGCCAAAAATGGACTCATTATCGTCGACCGAAGGGGTTGCAACTTGTCCAGTTAGCTCAATTATACTGGTCCAGTTTTTTGCCGGAAGTAGATTCCTATTATAGGAAGATATTATTGACTTCCAAAATCGTTAGACCTATTTGTTAGTTTCGACTTTTTTAATAGCACATTTTATTGTATCAGTATAATGTTAACTTAATGTAAGTTTGCACAATTGTAATGATAAATCGACGCGACTCTTAACGCGTCGAGTTAGTCGTCCCGACGCATTAATTATGCAAAGTAGCGAGATCAAAGTATTAACTTCGTACGAAATAAATGTAGGTACGCGGCAAAAGGTCTCGAGTAAGTTCCCCGGTCAAAGGGGTTAAGCTACATCTAACCATGGACAAATATTTTCTCCCTAAAGTATCTCCCTCAAACGACTGTCGTCTAAAAAAACATATCAGAACACTTAAACTAGCTGGTGCACTTGTAGAAAAAACAAAAGGCACACACGATTCCGTCGGAATAGTGTAGCTCGTTTCAAAGACAAGAGGCCATAGCGTCACGTTACCTGAAGGGATACGAGGTACAGAAAGAGGATGACTAAAAATTGGTACCCTTTTGCTCGCGGGTGCCTCTTGGTGGGTAGTACTCATGTAAGCAGTGACTAGTGAGGTAAACTCGAGTGTCTGAGGGGTAAAGGGGAAACGGAGGGCTTAGGGCGAGGAGTGGTCGTCACTGGTGGGTGTAAGAAAAGGAGGGATAGTAGCGAACCGGGCTACGTTGCCCGAGGGGTGGAAAAGGGGTGGTTTTTCCTCGGTCTGAGCATTCCGTAGACGAACATGCTCGCTTCGTCTTGGTTCGCATGCTTCTACGTCTCTATACACGCGTATGTATGTCGGTCTTTCTTGCTCCGATTCAGGCTGTCCTCTCTTCACCCCTTCCGTCCTTCTGTCTCACTCCGGTTTCCATTCTTCCGTTGGTCTTCTTTCGTCCTTTCTCTCTTTCCGTCTATCTGCGCCACGTACACGCGGGCCACCGGCAAGAAGTAGACAATTCACAATTAGCAAACACAAACAGAAGTACGAGTGGCTTCAAGTTGCTTGGGACGCGGTGGCAACGGGCTTAGCCGGAAGCAAACGGTGGGGTAGGGACTTCTGGGATACGAAGCGACTAGCTTGGCAGTCCCTGAGCGTCAGCCTCCGCTCCAGAATACTCTTCTCAACTCCTGGCCCGACACAGACCGGCGAAGGCGCGTGTATGTTCTGTGGATAACGGGTGTACCTACCAATATCCGCGATCTCTCCAAACATTTTCAATTTATACGATTATAATTGAATATGCGTCGACTAATTCGCTAACCGATGAACGTATTCCGATCACACGAGTCTTTTGCAAAGAATGAGCAGGCTCTAGTGAACATATTGGGGTTTAATTTGAACAGCATGAAGTTGTATATGGGAGTAAGTTTATTCAACAACTGAAGTCTTGTAGTGAAATATTTGCCAATTTCGTGCGACTGATAAGAACAGTCTAAGGGGATGACCATATACATCCGATCAATCGTACATTTTAACTCGTCTGATATAGATGTACACCCGGTATGTACGCGCATCGGGCTCTCACCGTTGCGTTGGAACACTTGAAGCCCCAACCAGTTACGGCAACAATAGGCTTTGTCTTCGCGCCGTCGGCGCTCGCAAATTGGTAGAAATCTTGATTAAAGGTGCAATTCCGCTGCTGCCTACGGACAAATATGAATTGCACCCCCAATGCTCCCGTCCTCTCCTCCTCTCCGCAGCCCGCCTCTTTTTACCGTTCCGACAAATGAAAATGGAAAAAACGTGTTGTGCTATACTTCTTACGGCGGGACAAGTCTGTGGCTTTTCGAGGATCAAGATTGGACTACGTCTTTGAAATGGAACAGTGACACATTAAGGATATTATTGTCGTCAAACAGGAAAGCACGGGTGTATTCCTCTCAGGTTTCATTAATCCCTTGTAGGATTTTGTTGTTATTTCGTTTCTACCTTCATTAGAAAGGTGGTGGTATATTTATTGGCTAGACCATATATCGGCATCGTCGACGCGCGGTGATTCGATTTCGTTTACGGTTCCGCATGATAATCCGATTGCGAGATTACACGACGATTCGGATCGACAGAGCATGATCCTGGCAATAGGGAGAGAAACAGCAAGACGCGTATAGAAATGGAATAATAACGCGTTGTGTATGACAGATGCGACGGGACCATTCGCGATAATCCGCCTTCGGTTTATCCCTTTGCAATAAACCCCAAGATCGATCGTGTATCGCACTGTGTGACCCATCAAAATTGCTCATTAAACTTTACACGGATTCCATCAGCGTTGAAAACCTTCTTGTCTCTATTCAAATATACCAATTAACTCTCGTGCGAGCAATCGGGTACTTTGGGTATCAAATTCTTAATTATTCTATGCTTCGTTAGAACATTTACGTTTCATTGTAAGACGTTTTATATATTCAATGTTCATCCACAGAAAAATAAAATTTATTGGACTTCCGTAGATGTTTGGATTTATTTCTGCGCGATACCTTTTATCCCCCAATCAAAATTTAATGATCAAGGGATCTTGACTTTACCCGACTAAATCCCCCACATACGCATCAATAGAGCCTGAAGGCTTCAACGTGTTCATGCTCATCCCGTGCAGAACACACATCGCAAAATTGAGTCAATTTACATAACGATAGTTGAGACGTACATGAAAAGCCGCTCCTAGGTCAGGGCAATACCGTCTGCAAACGGGCTTTGAATTTCGAAAAGCCTCGATATTCCCCTGAATTTCTACGGAACTAAACGCTACTTTTCTTAATAACGAAATTAAATTCGACTACATATTATTATATGTGTAACAGTACTTGTTATATGCTTTGATAAAAGATTTCTTTTCCCAAATTCGATTTCAGGAATCCGATATAGTTATTCATTAATGTATAGTGATTATTTTAACAAACTAAAAATGCAGTGTGAAGCTTACTTTTATCTTTTTTAATTTCGTATCAATACGCGTTTTGAAAACGATAATGCCAGTACCATCTAGTGGCGAGTAACAGAACGAACGAATCGAACAATTATATTTTTTCATAAGATAAACATTTTTCACAATTTACTGCTGTTACCAGAATGTATCACAGTTCTGTAAATATTACCTTCTGCTAAAAAGGTTAAATATGATTTACCATACTTTTCTTGTCATATCTACTATATCGACCGATGGTGTATACTACTTCCACTGTGCACCGCCTTGTGGCACTGTAATCTTCACATCATCAACGAGTTATATCTGTAGTCACTTACTAAAATACTCGTTCGAGGATTTCCAGGAGGTTGACTCCAGGCAAGTGTTTGTTACAATAATAAATAGATATTTTAGAGATAACTTTCCAAATATATTTTTGATAAAATATTAATAAAAAATTATCGCTCTGTATTGTGGAAACATGCTATCAATGAAATACGCTCCGACTTAATTGAATAAAAACTTTGCAATTTATATTAGAGATATTTAATTGTTTACAGATTTACTCTCGAGAAATAACAAAAGAATTTCCAATGGACAGCTGTTTGCCATACATTCTTACTGGATGTATATTTTATGGCTTTGGTTTAAAGTGGTGCTATGAATATGCCAAATATTGGGTGTCTCTGAGGTCTAGAGATGATTCGAATACAACCAAGGGATTAAAACTTATAGAAAAATGTGAAAAGTTAATAAATAGGCACCCTATCGATGGGAGCTTGAAACTGATAGCAACTGCTATAGGTCTAGCTAGTACGATAACTGGTGGGATGCAGCAAACTGAGACTGTGTCTCCCAAAGTTGTACTTGCAACAATTTATCTCTTTTTTGCATTCTCTGGTCTTGTTGATGCTTTAAACTTCTACTTTCCTCACAATGTGAGTGAAGGTTTAGTTAAACTGGCACTTGCACAAAGCTTCTTTATAGAAGGATTTCTTTTATTATGGGGTAACATGGGAAACAGTGTGACAGTCAATTTAATATTAGCACTTATAGTATGGACAACATCTCTGGCTATTATTTTGGAACTTGTGTGGCCAGAATTAAAGCTCTTGAGAGCTTGTACAACATTGCTTCATGGTAGTTGGATAGCACACATGGTACGGATATATCAGATAATACCAATGCAAACAGAAATTGTTGCACTTGTATTTTCTTGGCATGTGGCTGCTGCTTCAGCTGTGACATTATGCGTAGTAGCAGTGACAAGAAGCTGTGCTCCTAGAATTATATTGGAAGATCCACCAGAGATACCCATCTATGACTATTGTCAAGAGCCAGATCAGAGAATGTAAATGTCTCAAGTAATTTTGTGCAATTAGAAAGCATTTATAACATGCATATGAATAATATTTTTAGAGTGGTATATTCTAAAAGTAGTTTCAGGAAGTATAATAATCTAAAACCTTTTCAATTTTGATACAATATTAATATTTTTTTACTTAATATTTATAACATTAAGAAATACCCTTTTATACTACAACGAACAGTATCTATTTTATACGACCCTTATATAAGCATGGTAATATAAGCAATATTCTAATACCAAAACAGTAGATAAAAATACTCATTAGCAATTAAGAGGTGCCTTATGATATTATTGCTCATTTATTTATTCCATAGAATACATCATCTTTTGTAATCAATTTTTCTATTCATCATAAACATACTGTATGTGCCAAAAAAATTTGTATCATTATACATTGTAAATAAATCATTTCATTAAACATTTATACTCCACAAATTTAGTTGTTTATTACTATTTGCTTATTGAATAGGTATTTTGCGTAAGAATTTATAATAGCTTCTGCCTTTATTTTTCATTTATCGATTTACATATTCAAATTTGAAAAGCATACCAACATAAAACAATGTTATTATGCTATAGGGAAATTTTGCGTAAAGCAAGGTACGTTTACAAAGTAACTAAACTCATTGACAATACGCCCAAACGCCTGCGCATGCCGCCACGTTAACGTGGTGTTGTGCTTTTCTATGGAATTATTAGTTTTAGTAGTAAACGACTTACACGTGACTTTAAAACTGAAAAGACTGATAGAACTGACGTGTCCTTAATGAAAAAACGTGGCAATTTCAAGCTATATTGCTAGTTTATTTATATGATTTTTAACTGAGTCAGCGAAATCGAAACAACTATTTGCGTTGTCTGACATTGCTACTCGTAATATGCATATAAAAAATTAATTTTTTTATCGAAAATATATCCGTCAGATTGTCACAGGTATAATATACTATTTTATACACGGTACTAAGGTTATATTGATAATGACCACGTCAATGTTGTTACTCCTGACATACCATAAATAATTCATTTTATTAACGAGCAAGTGATTGTTCTATTAAAAAATGATCACGTATTATTTGAACCTGAAAGCTACGTTGAAATATTGTGGAATATTATATTGATAATTACGGTGTAACTCAGAAGATGTGTAATACTTTGGTTCAAAGTAAGCGTTACAAATTTTGAAGTAGCACTTGTGTAAGAAAAACATCTGTTTCGTCAAAAGTCACTTTACAAGGTGCATGATAGTGTGGCTGATTACTTTTATTGTTCCAAATGGGTTTGAAAAGGAAAATGAAAAAAGACGGGAATGTGGAAGATGGAATGTACCCGACGAATCATATTCAGGAGCACTCGGATTTACGAGGTGACGAAAAAAATTTGGCCATTCTTTTATTTTTATATTTATTGCAAGGAATACCGTTGGGTCTATGTAGTTCTATTCCTATGTTACTACAAAACAGAGACGTTTCGTATCGTCAGCAGGTAATTCTCGAAATTTACATTGCGATCGACCATATAAAAAAATAATTGTTTAATATCTCAATATTTTTTTTTAGGCCGAATTCAGTTTTGTTCAATGGCCTTTTTCATTGAAACTGTTTTGGGCACCTATAGTAGATTCTGTATTTTCCCAAAAATTTGGAAGGAGGAAAACATGGTTAATTCCTACTCAGTATTTAATGGGCTTTTTCATGTTACTTTTATCTGGTCACATAGATCATTGGCTAGGTAATAATACCATAAAGCCCAATATAGGAATGTTAACGATAATATTCTTTTCTCTAAATGTTCTTGCTGCTACTCAAGACATAGTAGTAGATGGTTGGGCACTTACAATGCTAAAAAGGTATGATTTATTGTTATAGTTGATTTAAACATCAAACTTTGTCCTTATTATATAATTATTTTTCATATCAAGATGTAATGTGGGATACGCATCCACCTGTAACAGTGTGGGACAAACTGCTGGTTATTTCATTGGCTATGTCCTTTTTATGGCATTAGAGTCAGCAGAATTTTGTAATAGTTATTTGAGGTACACTCCTTCTAGCGAGGGTATAGTGACTCTACCTGGTGAGCAACCATAAGTTACTGTGCATGTCAGTCATTGATATTCATGACTTATAATATTTTTTTCTATAGGATTTTTGTACTTCTGGGGTTGGGTATTTGTAATGACAACCACTTTACTTGCATTGTTCAAACATGAAGAAGTAGAGAAAGGTCATGAAGAAGAATTGAATACATCTATTAAACACGCATATAAATTACTTTGGAATATTTTTAAATTACCAGCTATAAAAACCATTATTGTATTTTTGTTAACTGCTAAGGTCAGGAGATACATAGTATGATGCAGTAAGTCTTGCATCTCTAGTCCCATTGATAATAATGCATCATTGTTGATCACAGATAGGGTTTTCTGCTTGTGATGCTGTAACTGGTTTGAAACTAGTAGAAGCTGGTATACCAAAAGAAAAGTTTGCTCTTATGGCTGTCCCCATGATACCACTACAGATACTATTACCATTAGCAATTTCGAAATATACAGTTGGATCCAGACCAATGGATGTATATATAATGGCAATGCCATACAGGTGACAGACAAATTTATATCATAGGACACATATATTATTTTTAACACATGGTTTAACAGATATTTTTAATTGATCATACAGATTAGCTTTTGGGCTAGTAGCAGCATTTTTGGTATGGGTGACACCATATGTTGTGAATGATGGACAAGTTCCAGCTTACTATTTTATATTATTAATAGTGCTGTATTTAATACATCAGGTAAAGTATATACGAGGGGAACGGTATTTCGAAATAGGCATAATATGACCAGAAACTTACTCAAGGTATTTACACTTGTTTCAGGTTTTCACGAGTAGTATGTTCGTGGCATCTATGGCGTTTTTCGCGAAAATTAGCGATCCTGCTGTAGGTGGAACGTACATGACATTATTAAACACCTTATGTAATCTCGGAGGGAACTGGCCAGGAACGGCAGCTCTTTGGTTTGTCGATTCGTTAACATTCCGACAATGCAGTACCGATTCCTCCAACGATTGTAGCACAATTTCAGAAAGAGAGGTTTGTAAGAATGTTATCTTACGTTTTAAATTTGCTACTGCAAATATTTGTGTACGATTCAAACTTGAGGATTTTTTAATTTTACAGCTTTGCGCGAACACGCACAATGGTATTTGCAATATGCAACTCGATGGTTATTACATCGAGAGTGTCCTATGTTTGATCGTAGGATTCTTCTGGCTTAGGTGGGGTCGACGAAAAATCGACTCTTTACAGGCGAGACCCATGTCCGCTTGGAAAATTATGCTTTCGAAACACAGCAGATAGCAACAGTGATGAATCGATTTTACAATTTGTTGATACGGTACCTGTATTTATTAAAAAGATGTACAAAAAGGTTACACGTATATCGATTACGTGATAGACATGTATATATGGGTATCTTTCCTGGACATCTACCCAAGTGTTCCAATTTTATTATCCGAACATTGTCAGTATCATATATTTTTTATTTTCGTTTTCTGTTTAAATTATTTTTCGTAATGTGACAAATCGAGGTTGTACTAAGCACACGTGCGATATCTAATCTTGTTATAAGAAAAAGATAATGTATATTCTTTCAACCAGTGACACAATAATAATGTTCAACGAGTACTGTATCGATTATAATATTACTTTTACAATTTGTTCAGGGTATATCGTTTGCAGTACAGTATCATTCCAATCCCTGTACATTACTGTACCCATATATCAAGATGATAAACGAATCTTCATTTTTTATACGACCTTTGAATCTTATCCTTCCATGAAGGTTAGCAAGATTTAGTTACAATGTAATATATACGATATATTGCACTGATTTACCGTATAATTATATCTACTATCGGTTTTAAATGATTCAGCGAAAAACGTTGCAATTGTTCGCGGTATTGTAAGACAAACTGTACGAATGCGTGATGTTAATAAAAGTTTTCCATACGAATAATCTTGCGTTGCGTATCACAATTAATCACGAATTATATAAACAGGAATAACAGGAGGAGATGCTGTGCAGTGATCTGTACATGGTTTCAAGAGAATCTTTTTATTTTGTTTACTATCTCATCGTGAAAGGAATCGAAAAAAGAATGAAGCGATATCTATCGTACGTACTTAAATACTATCTACCGATTGCACTTAAATGCATTTTAAAGAAAATAAATATTTACGGAAGAGAATCCATTGTTGTCGAGTCGTTTCAATGTTCGTCCCATGTTTTATCCACAACAACCGGGTCGTAAATCGACCTGATCATCTTCCTTGTAATTCATTGCCCTTTTCTTTGGGTGTTTTACTGCCGGATGCATCGATTCATGATTCATAACCGGTACACGTTCCGTAGGTTGCGGCAGAGTACCGTCCGCGATCTTAGGTGTGTTAGATACTTGACGAACGAGTCGTTGTTCCTACGTTTAATATTATAATTACATTAATTGACGTTCTATTCGTTCGAGAGGAAAAATAATGGTTGTTAAACGTATCCAAACGAACGTTATCCTCTTTCGCGTCTAAGCTACCTGAGAAAGAATGTGATATTTACGGTATTCGTGGATTCGGCATCCATGCTCGAGACAAGACGAGAATCACCAATTAAGAATAAACGTTTAAGTTCACCAGAAGTTTCTATGCTTCGTACGTAAACGAAGCTCCAGATCGTTGAGATTAAAATTAATTTGACCAACATGTTGCAACTCGCGTTCTCACTTTGATTCTAGAAATCTTTCTCAGCCTCCTGACTATCGAGTTCACTGTTTTATCCGGATTTTTAACTGAACGCTTGCACATAAATCACTGTCATTTCGCCTTATTATTGGCATCTAATTTGAACTTTATTTGACGGTCGATACGTCATAATTCACGTACTTTACGATCTTAATGTTCCTGCTTGATGTTGTCAAAGATATGTCACTCAAAGAATTAATATTAGGAATTTGTGTCGAACTTTCGTGATTGCTAATAACATTAAATATTAGTTGCAATTGTCGGTAGAAAAATCGTAGATCTTTTCATTGATAAATATTTATGTATTAGAACATATACAGTACATCGACAAATAATTTTGGTACCTTTTTTATACACAATTTCTTGCACTCGATAACCACGTGTAGCATTTGATCGCAGTTAATCGCGTTTCAATTACACGTACATTTTCACGATATAACGCATGAATGCTTGTGCGCGATTGCAGCGTGTACTCGATTCTCGTGGCAATTAATTTTGTACGTGTTTATTCGATCGCAATTGTGCGCCAAGAAATTTGAATCGTATTCTGAAAAAGACATCATCTGTACTTTGAACGTAACAGATTGATTCTTCATGCTTCGAACGCGCATTCTTTCTAATTTATACAAGGGCAAACTTTGGATGATTTGTCCAAACGACTGTTACGCATTTTAATACCGAAAGAAACGTTCCAAATAACACCGCAGGACAAGTACGAATATATAGAACAACATTCTAAAACAATAAAATATCAGGCTAAAACAACGTTGCTCTACTATAACTTTTTACATTAAACGGTATGCATTTAAAACGCTTCTCTGTATTTCAAAACAGTGTAAACTATTGGATCGATTCGTCCAAAGCGATAAACATTCAATCTCACGTTCGACGTGGTTACGATGTTTAACTATGATAACGATCATCTATATTATAACGTCTACGGCACTTTTACGGTAGTAACCATTAAGATATCAATATGTACTTTCTTATGTAACACCCATTATATTATTTGCTACGGAAACCGATCCTTACTGGACCTTCTTAGCTGAACAACCGAAGACAATATACATATATATATTATATATCACACAGAACGATAATTTAAGGTACAACGTGATATATTACTCGATTTGTTCGTCGTCAAAAGTGACAAGCTTTTGACATTTTCAACGTAAAAAGATCGTGAATAAATTGGTGGATTAGGAACGGTTAATCCCAGAGGTGATTCGCGCTACGGAAGTTGATATAAATGTACTCCGTGATTGAAATTTTGTATTTGGTGATAGTTAAATTATAATTACAAGGAATTTTTCCTAGTCTTACGAGGGAAAGAAAGAAATTATTTGAAAACACGTATCGCGACAATACGCCCTGGCAATTCGTGTGTTTAGCAAATCCGTGTATAGGTAATCTTAAACTTAATATTCGCCATATAACGGGCGAATCTATTGTCATGCTTTTAGATTCGTATATCTTACTGTATAATTAGTCTATCCGTTCCCAAGGCACCATGTTTCGATCCTTGCAGCAACGCGTTCAAGTTTTCTTCAACTGGATGATCGTATGCGTGCCTTCAATAAAACCTGATCTTTAACGGTGAACACCTTTTCCCTTTTTTCGCTCGCGAGTTTATGCCATTGCCAATTTATCGCGTGCATCTTATCCATAAGTGAAAACTGACGGGTCAGATTTCGCTCATCTATACATACGTACATCAATACGTAAAAGAACGTCAAATTTATAATCAATATAGGCATATAGAGAATCGATGTACATCCGTTAAACGCAAACAGAACCATCATCAATTTGTGCGTAATAAAATATAAAGAAGAAAACGCGTTACGAACGGAACACGACCTATTGCAAACTAGGTAAAAACAGTCTCGTCTACTTTGAAATCCCTTCGACGTTCAGCCGCTGTTCGAGACAAAACATCTCGAAAAGGAAGTAATTCGATTTATGCAGCTCTCGTATGTACATAAATAAATCGTGAAAACGTTGATCACGAGATGGTCATATGTAACATTTCTCACTTCCTACGTCACATAATTTACTTACATCCAGCGTCGATTGGCATATCTTGAAACACTTTTTAATGCTCTTTCTAATGTACAAAATCTTCTTCGTTCAAAATTGGGACCTTGTCGCTTTTCTGATTGACGCGCAGCGTGGCGCCCCATTTTGCTCCTCTTCCAGCCTCCGAGGTTGCCATTAAAATCGAGTACGAATTCGGGCTGGCAGCTTCTTTACTGTAGTGAATTCCGTACAAGAAATATATCAAAATACCTGTAAAGGACAAGTTAATTATGTGATCTGTATGGACAATAAAAACGTGTAAAGAAAGATTCGTTCGAGATGTGACGCGACATGGTAAAATTACTAACATCATCACTACTGTTATTAATTTCACACAACTACAAATGTGTTACGTATCTTACCAACGATCATCCACACAAGAAATCGTAACCACGTCAGAAGCGACAGGTGGAACATCAGCCCGACGTTGAACAGAATACTCAGAGCTGGTACCAAAGGTACCATAGGTACACGGAATTTACCACTGGAAGGATTTTGCTGATGGGCGGCGATGACGAGTAGACCTACAATTATTTTTTATCAATTGTCGAATCACGAGTCGACCAACTAGAAAACACTCACTTCCGATCAATAAGAGCACAACGTTTGCCATAACGAAGTAATCCCACCAAGCCGGAGCAAAGTACGTTTCGGATATTAAAATTAATAAAGGACAGAGGGAAATGCAGCCAGCTGTATAAATTATGACGGAGCCAACCACCGCGTTTCCTGACTTGCAGTTGCCCAAAAAGTTTGCCAACCAGACGTATCGTGGCTTGAGTTTACCGGCGCCCTCGCTCAGATCCAACAACTGTAAAGTTACGAATGTTCGACGATTGAAATTACTTCGCGGGAATTGAAGTAAGTACCTCGGACTCCGCGGAGGTGATGCTGTTGCAGTCGCTATTGGAATCGGCACCCTCGGTAGGCGGTGACGTTAAGCTGCTCGGTGTACCAGCGTTCGATGACACCGGTGTGGTCTTCTCAGGACGATATCTTAGAATAATCACGCTCGCCGATACGATGGTGTAGGCCAAGAAGGTGCCGATCGACATGAATTCGACCAGGTGTTGCAGGTCGAATAGCAAAGCAATCAAGGCACTGACAGAACCGCTGATGGCCAAATTGAGGACCGGAACTTGCGTGCGTTCGCTTACGTGACCCAGAAAGCCAAAGAGAAGACCGTCATTCGCCATCGCGTACATCGTTCGCGGCAAAGAGAACAGGGATCCGAAGAGGGTCGTTGTCATTCCGCACAGTGCCCCTACACTGTATGTAAACGATTGTTTTAATGGAATTGATGTTCGTCTTGAATCGACGTTCTAATTAATGCAACCTTATCACGTATTTGGCCCATGGTATTCCTCTCGAGGAAAATGCTTCCGGAAGTGCGGCCGCTGGATTAATGTTCCAAAACGGTACGACCAGTGTCAGAGCAGCTCCGACCATCACGTATCCGATGGTTACGATCGCCATTGAGAGAAGGGTCGCCCGTGGAATACTCTGTCCTGGATCACGCGCTTCTTCGCCGGAAGTTGCGATCGAGTCGAACCCCACGAAGGCGTAGAAACACGTTGCGGCGCCTGCCGATCAAGTTCGCCAAGAAATACATCTTTCAGTATTAATAACTGTAACTAGAAACTCTACCTGCTAGTACACCCCCAAAGCCGAAAGGCAGGAAACCTCCGTTCTGACTGCTCCAGTTAGAAATCTTAGCGTAATAAATTCCCAAACCGATCACCAATCCCATCACAGCTAGATTTACGATAGTCAGCAAAGAATTGACCGTCGCCGAACATTTCACGCCCAGTGCCAGCAGCATCGCGTAGGCGAGACACAGTCCAGCTGCCAGTAAATCGGGAATATTTCCGAACGGTTCTCCCATGGTGTATCCGTGCATTATATGACGAGTGTAATTGCTGATGGAGCCTCCCGCCAAAGAATCGACGTATCCGCTCCAAGCTCTAGCTACCGACGCAGCTCCTGTTTGAAAGATTACCGTGAAACTTGTTCGATAGAACGGTGGGAAGTGATTGTACCTATCATATGTTCTAATATGATGTTCCATCCGATAACGAAAGCCCAAAATTCACCGACGGAAATGTACGTGTAAACGTAAGCGCTACCAGCTTTTGGAATTCGCGCACCGAATTCCGCGTAGCATAATGCCGCCAACAAGGAAGCTAGACCGGCGAGTAGGAAGCTTAGAATGACACCTGGACCAGCCGTGTTGTGAGCTACCGTTCCTGTCAGAACGTAGATTCCAGCGCCAACCATATGACCCACACCTACGAGATAAACGTAAGCTCGGTATTAAGAATTAGTTAGTTGTTGTAAAGTTTTTTACAACAGTATTGTAAAGTTGTGAAGTGGTTGCGAAGTCATTGAAAAAAACGGAAACGCGTGCAAAGGCATCAGCTGTTTCTTATCGTCCGGCGCAGAGCCGATGTTCATTAGAGATTTATGCGTAGCAACTTTTATCACGGAATCAGAATGTTATTTTGCGCAATTGCAATTAACATTTTTCCAGTTTGTAAATTGCCTTATCGCATATGTGCGCGATATCGAGAGAGGCGGTTTTGCATGTTCTTATTAAAATAGTATAAAACAACAAACTTACCGAGCAGCGTAATATCGAAGGTGGAAAGGCATCGTTTCATAGGTGTTTCAAGCAAATCACCTTGAAGCTTTTTCGTGCGATTCATTTTGCTGCACAGGCCGGACACGACGTGTCCTAGGATCATCCGGCGAACCGACGGCATTTTGATCTCTGAAAGATATCCTCGTCAGAATCGTTCGATGTCGACCGTATCGCGGCGGTAAATCAATTTATAGACATTTTCGAAGCGCGATTATCTTGGTTTCCGAACTGTGTTGAGTGTCAGAACGATTGCACCCGATAAAGGACACTCGAGAGCGGATGTTCGCTTAACGGACGTCTCGTGATTAAACGGTGTCGAGTAAAAATATTGTTAATTATTCGAGTACTTACATGGAATTGCTCGGATTCGAAATATCGGATAGTCGACTCGTTGTAGGAAAACGTGGACTGCGACAAACGAAATCACGACGGACGCCGAAATGTACAGAGAAGTCGCATGGCGCCTCCGTTAACACGCAGGCTCGGATATTCGATCGATTCAGCTGTGATAGAACTATTTATGTCACTCTCGACCACGCGACTATGAATGAAAATTCTTTCGATAGACATTTCTGCGATATTAAATGCGTTTTAATAAAACATTCCTTATCGTTTCCCCGCATCCGCGTTTCTAATCAACGCATGGAACATTGATTTTATTTTGCTCGAACTTCCGGGAATTTTGTTCATTTCGGCAACTTTGTGAATTTACCTTTACAACTCGTAATGATTATCGATACTTTACGACGAGGTTATCATGAAAGTTTAAGTAATTTCTCTAATGAAATGTAACTTTCATTCTTCGTCGCGTAAGGTAACTCGAGCATGAAAGGGGAACTTTCAGCGTTAGTTAAATTGCGAATATTCAAATATCGTAATCTGAATGAAACTTTCAGATTTACGTCAATATTTTCTCCGTAAAATATCCCCCTTATGAATGAATCGTGTTTTGTAAAAAAAAATCAAGCGCTGATCTTTTTGGAGTATGCGACAATACCGTTTAAAATACCGAAGGCTCCGCTTGGGGGCAGCACCGTCTAAGTTGTTGCAGTATGTATGTACTTTACCGTTCGATATTGGAGTAAAGTCGCATTTTGTTAGATGTGAAATTTGTTTGCTCGAAGGATATTTGCGTAAGGTATTTGCCTCGCGTAATTTCTCCGAAATATTGGTGAAACAGTGAAACAGTGGCTACGCGTAAAAAGAACACGTTCTAACATTGTACAGAAAATTAGTGGATTACAAAGGTCTCCTAACCTCTTCCTTTCCGTTTATCCAAAAATAATAAATATCTACTACCAAAAATGATTTCGTAATGTTGCTAAAATAGTGCCGTGCAAATGTTACTTTGTACCTTCTTGCACATTCTGTACTATAGGTGTTATTTTAACGAATACAAACTAGAAATAGTACCAGTTATTTCACTGATTTTCTCTCTTACATTTTTGGTCGTTTTTGAACAAAGCGCATTGACGATGCGTGAGAGTAAATAGCAATATTTTTATTCGTTTTAAATAGACCATGAGGGAATTATAGTTAACCAACCAGATCAAGAAGCTGTTGGAAATAGAGAACTACTAGTGAATCCAACTTTCAAAGCTGACTAGCTGTAATATTAGGGTAAGCAAGTGATTGTTAATGTATCCATGTTTTAGTAGATATTAGAAAAGCATGAGTTATCACCGTGGAGGTGGTAACAAGCCGAAAGGCTTCGGGTTTGGTGGTTTCCAAATGACCCGCACCAAAAGGACTGGCTCTAATGTACCACCACCTCCTCCAAATTCAACATTGAGCAAGCAAGGATACCACACTATGAATTCTATCACTGAAAATGCCTTGTCAGCCTGTTGGGGAATGCCAAAAAAACGTAGTAAAACAGAGGAAGAGTGAGTATGAATTGTAACAAAGTATCAGAGACCATGCAGGAACTAAATTCTAGCTTGCATTAATATTAGATACTTTGAGGACGACGATGATCCGCCACCGTTCTCTTTAGAATATATCCCAGCACCTGGGTCTCCCACGTACGACTGGATGAAGAAATCGACGCCGAAAGAAAACAGCGACAGCGAGGAAGATCCGCTGGACGCGTTCATGGCTGGCATAGATGCCGAAGTAAAGAAAAACAATTACGAAGCACAACTCGCGGAAGATGATCGTAAAGAGGACAAATCTAAAGGGTTCAGAGCGGACATCGATTGCGAGGACGACGAAGAAAGTTATTACAGGTAAGTTGCGAGGGTTTTCCGAAACGAAGAACTCGACGGAAAACGAAGAGAAATGACGGAATTGTTTATCCAACAAGGTACATGGAGGAAAACCCAACCGCGGGTTTACAACAAGAGGAATCTGACCAAGAGATCGAATACGACGAGGATGGGAATCCTATCGCGCCTCCTAAAAAGAAAGAGATTGATCCTCTGCCTCCCATCGATCACAGCGAAATACAATACGAATCGTTCGAGAAAAACTTCTACAACGTTCACGACGAAATTGCCAGCTTAAGCAAGCAACAGATTGACGATTTGAGGAAAACGTTGGGGATAAAGGTATCTGGTCCCTCGCCGCCTAACCCGGTCACCAGTTTCGGTCACTTTGGCTTTGACGATGCGTTAATAAAAGCAATTAGAAAAAACGAATATACCCAACCCACTCCCATCCAAGCTCAAGCTGTCCCTGCTGCGTTAAGTGGCAGGGACATAATAGGTATAGCGAAGACTGGTAGCGGTAAAACCGCGGCCTTCATTTGGCCCATGTTGGTTCACATAATGGATCAGAGAGAACTAAAGGCTGGCGACGGACCTATCGGCTTGATTCTTGCTCCTACGAGAGAATTGTCTCAACAGGTATTTTAAGTTAAACACATACGATTTAAGATGCATACAGTGTGCAGTACCATCGATTCGCTTGTATTCGTAGATTTATCAAGAAGCAAGAAAGTTTGGGAAAGTGTATAACATTCAAGTGTGTTGCTGTTACGGTGGCGGCAGCAAGTGGGAACAAAGTAAAGCGTTGGAAGGGGGTGCAGAGATAGTAGTCGCAACACCGGGTAGAATTATAGATTTAGTTAAAATGAAAGCCACGAATTTAACCAGAGTAACGTTCTTGGTATTGGATGAGGCCGATAGAATGTTCGATATGGGTTTCGGTAAGGAGCAAAACAGGAGCATTCGAGCGCACGATCTAATTGCCTAGATCGATTTATCGATAAAACTTGCTTCACTCGGTTATCGTCTTACTTTATTTCAGAGCCACAAGTACGATCAATCTGTAATCACGTTAGGCCGGACAGGCAAACGCTGTTGTTCAGTGCAACTTTTAAAAAGAGGGTAGAAAAGCTCGCGAGGGACGTTTTAACGGATCCGGTTAGAATAGTTCAAGGAGACGTTGGCGAAGCGAACGCGGACGTTACTCAACACGTAATAGTCTTCAATAATAATCCAACCGGCAAGTGGACTTGGTTGCTGCAAAACCTGGTCGAATTTCTGAGTGCTGGTAGCCTGTTAATCTTTGTGACCAAAAAGGTCAGTCGATCGCGATCGTGCGAGTTTCCTGAATGAACTAGTATCGAGAAAATATGTATTGTTCGATTTACGTGCCGCAGCTTAACGCCGAAGAACTCGCAAACAATCTCAAGTTGAAAGAGTTGGACGTTTTGCTTCTACACGGTGACATGGACCAGATCGAAAGGAATAAAGTGATCACGGCTTTTAAGAAGAAGGAAGTCAGTACTTTGGTCGCTACCGACGTCGCTGGTAACGTTACTACTTGGATCTCTTTCGTGGGTACGTTGCCCCACGTTTCAGCGAAACTCATCCTGTAATTTCCTGCAGCCCGAGGTTTGGACATTCCACATATCAGAACCGTCGTCAATTACGACATCGCGCGAGATATCGATACTCACACGCATAGGATAGGTAGGACGGGTCGAGCCGGCGAAAAGGGTACGGCGTATACCCTCGTGACGGAGAAGGACAAAGAATTCGCCGGTCATCTAGTCCGAAATTTGGAAGGAGCGAACCAAGAGGTACCAAAGAGCCTTATGGACTTGGCGATGCAAAGCGCTTGGTTCCGAAAGTCGAGGTTCAAAGGTGGGAAAGGAAAAAGTTTGAACGTTGGGGGAGCTGGACTTGGTTTCAGAGGAAGACCCGACACTTCGTCCACTTCGGTATTTACTTACTGAATTTTATTTTATAATAAATTTCCCCCGGATGAGAATAAGGTAATTGGAAATTATTACGATTACAGAGCAGCGGTTCTTCGTCGCAAGGGTCAAAAGACATAAGCGAAGTTGTCAAGAAACTAGAGAGACACGGACCCGGTAGTGATCGATTATCCGCCATGAAAGCGGCGTTTCGCAGTCAGTACAATTCTCAGGTAAGCGATGTTTTTTACGAGATAAAGCATAACGGTTAGCTCAGGTGTTATAAGCGGATGATTATTCGGTTTCAGTTCCGGGCATCGTCGGATCACACGTGGGAACAAACTATTACGCGTCCTTCGGTGATCATGCCGCCGCCTCCTCCTGTACCTCCGAAACCAAATACGGAACAATCGCGAACTCAGAACAGTCAAGCGTCGAATACCAGCGGAGAAAGGAAGAGAGTTAGAAAGAGTCGATGGGAATAATCGAGCGACGACGAAATTACCATTATTTTGTGTATATTACTATTATTATCGCTAACGATATGCAAAGGAACGACGATGCCGAATTGTTTTATATTATAATAAAATTTAATTTTACCAACTTGGCGCCGAGCTAAAGGTTCCGTTTATTTCCTTCCAGCTAGGAATAATGTAACAACGTTCAATGGGCAAGAGTCTTTATTGAGATAATTTTGATACAAAATTGAATCGGTCGTTGGATTAAAATCTAAACGCGGTATAATTCTATGTACCTATCGACTTCGATAAAATGCCAAGCACTACGATATAAATTGAACGATCGCTTTCGATTTGCGCCAATTAAATCGTGACTGCTAACACTTCAAAAAAAAGTTCGATAGACAGTAAAATTAGTAGATAGCTGCATCGTAAAAGGATAATCTCGTGAGTGAGCAATTTTCCTGAACGCGAGTTACGACGTTCTTTCAATAATTTCTTCGAAGATTAAGCATCTGCTCGTCGAAGCGTAATGTGCATAATGAAAAATGCATACGTTTCTTACATTAACAGTTCAATGCTTCTCGTAGTTTCTTCAGCAAAGATTTCGCCATCGTCGCGCAGTCATGTTCTCGCGTTTACTTACTCGAGATATTTGTTTAGAACGAGTCATTATCATAATTGTCCTCGTAAGGAAATCATTGCCACGATCGTGTATTTATCGACTTCGTTATAACTTATCGCTTTTAAACACGAAATCAGCACCGTAGATTAACTTTCTTTTTTTCATAATCGACGAGTAGCGCGATTTCCTCTCGCTGATCGATTCTACGCGCTTTAAAATTGTTCCGAGACACCGCTCGATATGGAGATTAAGTCAAGGATACGGCTGCGACGATTGATCGCGTTAGATCTCCATGTATGACGACACGACTCTCGGGTGGGATGTAAATGACGGGTTACCGTTTGTTGCGTATGATTCGATGACACACGTTCGCGGATTATTCGTCTATCAACTCTGCTGCCATGGAAGTTGACGGCTTACGTTAAAATTCCGATCGCGCGATATCGTTTCACCGATGGTCAAGGTTGTCCGCTCATTTCTGGTCCGACAAAGGATGTCGTGTAAAAAAAAAAGAAAAAATTCCTCCGTTCGGTTGACAGAATTCTGGTCTGAGTCACCAAAATCGGGAAAGTCCGAGCACGCTAGAAATGTTCGCGAAGAAGTCTGTTTTTACGAGTTGACGTATTGAGACATCGCGGGACTGCTTTTCCTCCTGATTTTCTCGTTTTGTTGCGATCCGTTCAACTGACTGACAGGCTTTTTACTGGCGTCGTTGTTCTTGTTGAATTTCTCCATGGCTCTGCTGTAGGATCCCGTGCAAACTCTGCCCCAAAGTCTTTTGTCTTCCGTGCACTGTTTGTTCCTTCCTTCGCTCGAGGTTCTCTGGATCTCGTTTCTTCTTCGAACTTTGCTGGGGTCCTCCTTCTCCGTCTGCTGAACATCCTCCCAAGAGACGTTCACGTCCGACTGCACGCTGGAAGGTGTTGGACAGCTGCTGTCGCTGGACAAAGAAGAGGATCTTACGAAGGAGGGTGGCACGACCAGTTTCGTTTTATTATCTTCTTCTTTGGAAGGCGAGCTCGAAGGCGGTTCACTTTTGGCACGACTACTTCCTCGATTTCCACTCTCGTTCGAATCTTGATTGTCGTGAACAAAATTGTCGTTTAAGATTATCTTGGCTATCGATGTTCTTTTCCGTAAATTTTCCAAATTCTCTTTCGGCGTGCTTTGGAACGTGTCCACCCTTTGTAGAATGTCTTTCAAGTTTACGTTGACGCATTCCGTTGCGCAAGGTTTCGGTCGATCCGTTCTCTGCACCTTTGGGTTTGATTTCCCGTTCGAAACCGAGGAAACCGTCCTTTTAATCGTGTCCTGCGAATCTTCCTTAACGTGGCACGTTACTTCAGGATATATGTAATTTGGAAGTCTTTCTTTTTGACGAGTGAAAGTCGTGGTCTTCTGAAGCTTTTCGTTCGATGCTTCCGTCGCGTTTAATTTGGCACCCTTTACGCAACGCTTGTATTTCTCGTCTATCGTGGTATCGACGTTGTTGCGAGTCGAATCTTCCGCAAAGATGGAATCACCGTTGATTTCGATCGGTGGAACGATCATCGACCATCGGTCCTCTTTGTCCCATTTTTCTTTCGCTTCCTCGTTATCCAACTTGTTTTCGTCGTTCGAAGGAGGAACGTCACTTTCGACCTTGATCTTTTCTCGATTATCGTTATCCTCGTCTTCGTCCTCGTTTGCCGAATCGTTGACAAAGTTCTTCAGAATCCCTTCGTTCTTCTCGCTCTTTTTTCTCAGCTCTTCCCAATTCTTCCGCGGCTTGTAACTGGTCTTTCGCCTAACGATCTTACTTTCGCTGATGTTGATGTCCGGTATAAAGAGCCTCAGCGCCTTTGTTCCGGTCGGGAAAGTTACCTCGTTTATCCTCTTCTCGGTCATTATCGCTTCCAAGCTGGTTCTCGAGGCGACTTCCTGGTGTTTGTTAAACGCTGAGACAAGCTGCGCCACCGTGTACTTTGGTTCGTCGGTTTCCGACTCGGTCGAACGGTCCTCTTTGTCGTCCGAAGTTGCCGAATTGTTCGAGTGACTCGATGCGTCCGAGTGTTGGCGTTGACAAGCTCGTTTACCGGCTATCAGATTCGATTCACGATTCGTTTCGCGAGTCATCGGCGTTTCGTCCGACTCTTCGGTGAGCGTGTCCGATTCGATCGATTTCAACGAGTCGAGATTCTCCTCCGATTCGAAAGACTGTCCACTCGATATTTCCGGTTGATCCTCTATTTTTTCATCTGGCTGGACCTCGGGCGACGATAAAATGTTCGAGATTTCGTTGTCGGCATCGGCTCGGAGGCGATCGATAGTCTCCTCCGGTCGAGACACTTCCACCTTTGGAACGTTCGCGTTTTCCTCATCGAAACGTTTCTTCGTTTCACCGAGACTGGGTATGTCGTCGCAGGAGAGACGATCGTCCACGACGTAAGCGTGCGAAGCATCGATTTCGGCGCCTAATCGTTTGAAGATGGGCAACATGTCCTCGGTCTTGGCACGCTGATAGCTCTTCCTTCTTCGTCGGAGACACTCCAGGCTACGGTATATGTCCAACATCCCTTGGGACTTCGACAACGATCTCAGACCGTAAAGCTTCTCTCGCGATTTGCTCATCACCGGATTTATTATCATTCGCGGTCCCATTTTTCTTTCGCTTCCTCGTTATCCAACTTGTTTTCGTCGTTCGAAGGAGGAACGTCACTTTCGACCTTGATCTTTTCTCGATTATCGTTATCCTCGTCTTCGTCCTCGTTTGCCGAATCGTTGACAAAGTTCTTCAGAATCCCTTCGTTCTTCTCGCTCTTTTTTCTCAGCTCTTCCCAATTCTTCCGCGGCTTGTAACTGGTCTTTCGCCTAACGATCTTACTTTCGCTGATGTTGATGTCCGGTATAAAGAGCCTCAGCGCCTTTGTTCCGGTCGGGAAAGTTACCTCGTTTATCCTCTTCTCGGTCATTATCGCTTCCAAGCTGGTTCTCGAGGCGACTTCCTGGTGTTTGTTAAACGCTGAGACAAGCTGCGCCACCGTGTACTTTGGTTCGTCGGTTTCCGACTCGGTCGAACGGTCCTCTTTGTCGTCCGAAGTTGCCGAATTGTTCGAGTGACTCGATGCGTCCGAGTGTTGGCGTTGACAAGCTCGTTTACCGGCTATCAGATTCGATTCACGATTCGTTTCGCGAGTCATCGGCGTTTCGTCCGACTCTTCGGTGAGCGTGTCCGATTCGATCGATTTCAACGAGTCGAGATTCTCCTCCGATTCGAAAGACTGTCCACTCGATATTTCCGGTTGATCCTCTATTTTTTCATCTGGCTGGACCTCGGGCGACGATAAAATGTTCGAGATTTCGTTGTCGGCATCGGCTCGGAGGCGATCGATAGTCTCCTCCGGTCGAGACACTTCCACCTTTGGAACGTTCGCGTTTTCCTCATCGAAACGTTTCTTCGTTTCACCGAGACTGGGTATGTCGTCGCAGGAGAGACGATCGTCCACGACGTAAGCGTGCGAAGCATCGATTTCGGCGCCTAATCGTTTGAAGATGGGCAACATGTCCTCGGTCTTGGCACGCTGATAGCTCTTCCTTCTTCGTCGGAGACACTCCAGGCTACGGTATATGTCCAACATCCCTTGGGACTTCGACAACGATCTCAGACCGTAAAGCTTCTCTCGCGATTTGCTCATCACCGGATTTATTATCATTCGCGTTTGCAACGAACTCGAGGTTGCCGAGGGATTCCCGTTGAGCAAACACGCCTGCGATTGAATTCGATTCAGGCTTCGTATTCTGGACAGCAAACCTCGGCTGGGACCGTGATTCAGATTCGCTTGCGATCGACTCTGAGCGCGACTCAGCAAGCCTTGAGTTTGCTCTTTGTTCAGCAAATAGCTCTGGCTGGCGCAACTTAAATTCGTTCTGGATGAATTTAGACTGGTTCGAGAGTCGGCCGGACTCGGGAAGTCTTCGCTACCCTCGAGGCTAGATCGGCTTCCGGTGAGCCGGTGACTCAGACACATCTCGCTTTGACTCAGCAAACAGTCCTGCAAACTTTGATCGCGATGATTCGACTCTTGAACGTCGCTCGACAGATTCGCTTGGCTGCTCGCTTGGCTCAAGAGCGCCGCTCTTCGCAGATTCTCCCTGCCGACCACTCGCTCCAGAAGGACTTCCCTCGATTTCGACAGGTATCTTCTCAGGTGAGGCGACGCTTGTGTAGGTGCCGCGCGCAACCAATCGTGACGCAGGCATTGTTTCGCGGTCATTCGTGCGCTGAAATCGAGATCGGCTCGCTTACGAGAGGATATTTATTCGCGAGCGAGCGAGGCTAGCTCGTACACTGGCAAATTTATGGCTCACCTTGGGTCTAGCACCAGAAGCTTCGCGACGAAATCTTTTGCCTGCGCCGAGACGTCTCCGAACAGCTCCTCCGGGAAGTCTACCTCGCCTAGAGAAATATTTTGGAACGTTTCTTGATCGGTCTCGCCGCCGAACGGAGAGAACCCCGTCAACAACACGTACGTCGTAACACCCAGAGACCTGCAATGCGCCGACATTTACGAAATTGTTAACGTCGTTTCGACAACGAAATTTATGAATCCGTTTATACGCACCACATGTCAGCGGCCAACGTGATAGGTTCGTAGTGCAAGATTTCGGGCGCTGAAACGAACGGAGACGTTAATCGGTGAATCGTTCGGTTGAACAGCCTCGTTCGAATTCGTGATATCATCTAGAGACGTCGTGTTTACTCGTAAAACGAAAATTGGATTCGCGAGTCGTAGGCGTGGACGATCGAGAAACTCGAATAACGCGTTATTATGATTATTACGCGTGCTTTTCAGGTCTCGTAGAATCCATAAAACTGTTATATACGTTTGATCAGCCAGTCTACTTGTCGGATAAATTTCGCCGATTAAATCACGATCGTTCCCGCGTCTCGGACGTTGCGACGAGACGCGTCAAACTCAATTTAGATGTTCGACGATACCCGCGCTACTCCAATTATTCGACGTAGCGATACGATCGACGGGAATAATGGACACGCATCAATTATGTCGCCAATTATACTGGCCGCGATTCTCGTTGAATAAATTTTGCCGGCGATTCTCCGTTTTCACGCGTCGCTCCGATCGAACGTAAAACGTCGAGAGTACGCGTAATAATCGGTAACGATCGGTGCACGATTCGAACGCGATCAACTGTAAATTGCGCGAGCAATTAAGATTTATCGTAATAATTCCCGGGGTTCAGTCTGTTATAAGTTTCTACAAAAGTTGAGTCGCGCTTCGGGCGTCGGTTGGTCGATCGAACAGGATTCCGATAACTGTTCTTTCGTCGATCTCGAACGAAGACGTCAAAGTCTATTAGCGACGCTCGACGCGACGAGATTCAAAGCACCGACCGTAAATATGCTTACGCATTTCCGTGTTGATCGATCGTATAGATGATCACGCTTATCTCTGACGAACGGTCCAACAGTTTATCGAAGGTCGATAATCGGTAACTTCGACAACGACGTCGCGCAATAAGGTTAACGTGTCAATTAATATCGATTATGTTTACGATCTTGCTCGCGGGAGAGGTGGTCAATTAGCGGGGCAAGGTATCGATTGGTAGCAATTAAACGACGACGAAAGAGGAGCAAAGCGCCGACGCTGTTTAACTTGTCGTCGAACGAAGGTAACGCGAGCGATACATCATCCAGATACCGGTATCGCGGCGCTTTATATCTTCCGAGCGACTTGAAATTCGGCGAAACGCGCGAAACGAGGCGGCGTTGCTACAAACGAAACGTCTGCTCGTTCCTTTTCGTCCGCGTATCGCGATCGCGCGTCCGATAAACCGGACAAAGTTGTCCGATCGCGAAATCCGGCTGCTTACCCACGTAATCCGGTGTCCCCAAGATCTCACGAACCTCCGTCCCCTCTAACACCACTCTCGAGATCTCGAAATCGCACAGTTTCACCTCGCACTCTGGGAAGCTGCCCATCATTACCAGATTCTGAGGCTGCAACATAAAACGGTGCTCACTTTTTTCACCGACATCAATTAGTTGTCGCTTAATCGAGTCGTTAATACCGAGACACGGTCTTTTTCTTCCGCTTTAATTGAATCACGAACATAAATAACGCGTAAACGACGCAAACTCGCTCTTAACTTTGAAAACGAGCTCGTTAATATTCTTAACGCCGTTGTCAGGTTCGATTATAAGTAAATTCGATCATTGTTCGATCGATTTTCGTCGAGCTCTGGCGTGCGTCGTTATTAAGATATTCGACTCTATGTAAATCGCTAAATTTGCATACGTTTATATTCGGTACAGCCAGAGGTGCCTTCGCTGGTAACGCCACTCGCTACAACTTTGTAACACTTGCTAAACAAAGCGGATAAATCGATTCGAGTTCGCGAGATAGCCGTGATCAATGATTTACGGTACGTAGTCGTGTCGAAAGGGAAGGAAGGAAATCAGATTCGCCATCTCGCCAATGGCGGCGCATAGCTTCATGCCACACGATGGAGTATTTCCTATTCTCACATGCATTCTCGATGATCTACGCTAGCGGGAAAAAAATGTTTAAAGAACGCTGACAATTAATGGCGAGCTAATCAACCGATCGAGCGCGTTCTTTTACGCGTCACGTTGGTTTGCCTGGCGAGTTTGCTCGACGGGACGTCTCGTATCTTGCGACTCTATTCGGTACGACGCTGCAAGTTTTTACCGCGCTTCGCCATTTTGGTGACCGAGCGTAATAGTTACGTTTAAATTATTGCTTTCGAAGCGAATATATTTTCCGGCCGAAGAGCGGACGAAACGACGAGCGGACAACGTTGCGCGATTGCGTGGCAGACTGCTTCGCGATTCGCGCTTCATCGAGAAGAACATCGCGAACATTTACATAAACACGGTAGATGCTGTTACGATAAATTCGAGCGCGTACGGCGAATAGAATGGAATATTAAGTTTCTCGGTGAACAAGCGCGATCGAGGCTACGATCTTCGCTTCGTAGTCGCAGCCTGCAACGTGGACAAGATTTTCATTTTTTTTCTTGCAAGCGAGAGGACGCGTTTTATTCGCGCGGCGAGAGTCGCACGAGAATGCAACCTATATTCTCGGTCTCGCGTCGTTTCGCGAAGCGTAGATTTCTCAACGGCCGGTTCTTCGCGTTTCCTTATACACGTCGTCGCTGCAAGTTCCCGGCTTAACGAGCACGCTCGGAATCGCCGCGCCCGAATCTGCTTCGATCGTTGACGCGTTGAAAGTCGTAACCGGTAGCCCGTTTAGATAAAATCGACTCGATGACAATGGTACTTTTTGATCGGAACGAGAGCAGCGAAAAAACGAGCAACGAAACACTCGAGTTACGTAAGCGCGTCTCTCGGGAGCAGCAGCAGCAGCAGCAGAAGCAAAAGCAGAGGAAGAAAAAGGAGAAGAAGAAGAATCCGGTAGAATCTTCCTGGCTCGAACGCGTCGAGGTCCTTGAAGACGCTCGTGTGGGCGACTCTGAATATTCAAAGTTTCTCTCGGTAGTCCCGGCACGCGTTCGATAAATAATGACAAAAGGCGTAAAAATAATTCTGGGTCCGCGAGACACGCAATTCCGCGGCAGAGTGTTACGCGTCAAGATTCAAGGGAATCGCGACGGTACGTATCGACGGAGCCGCGTGCATCGAGTGAAATCATCCGATCGCGATAAATCTAATCGCGTCCTTGATGGTACGCGCGTTGATCGACCTTTTTCCTTATTTCGGACGAGCAAGCGTTTCTCGATCGAACGAAACGCGTCTAACCGAATCCCACGCGAAATCTCGTCACGCTGACCAAACAACCGCGTGGGCCGAAACGTCGCGTCGTATACATACAACGCGTTCGACACTCGTATTTTCTCCGAACTCGAGCGGTTCGAACCGTTAATTTCGTTCATTCTACCTCGGCCGGGTTCGTTAAACGGCCATCGGTGAGGAAAGTTGGACCGGCCCGACTAAACGTCGAGAATCGGACTAAACGAGCCACGAGGCGAACGATTAAAACGTTCTCTCCTCCGCTGTTGGAGCAAATGTCGCGAAACACCCAAGAAGCGCTCCAGTTACGGCGAACAGGTTAGCCGCTCGCGTGTTCACGGAGACACTAGTGATTCATCGAACACGAGCTAACGAGGCGAGCAGAACGCGATTACTGGTTCGCGCGAAACACGTGGGAGCTGGAGCGCGTTTCGCTTCTTGCCAGGATTTCTTTCGAATTCGATCGTTTCGCTCGGTTTTTACACTTCGATCGAAAATCGAAGGAGAAGAAGCGGCGTTTCTCCATCGTGTTTCCTTTTCGCGTTGCGCTAACTCCTTCCTTTCTCTTTCGCGGGAATTTTCGCGAGTTATCAGCAGTTGTTCCAGTTATGGTGGTCGCGTGTAGATAGGGAACGTTCGGGTGGCGAGATAGGAACCAGGTGTGATTCACCGACGGACGACAGAGTAAGGGCGTGGTCGTTTCAGCGCGAAAAGCGTGGGGTCTCGGAGCGGAACAGGGCACCACCGATCGCTCTACGCGTTTTTCGGAAACGTTTCTTTCCGAAGGAAACAACGCCTTTGCTCGATCTCCTTTCGCGAGGTTTACGCGTAGCTGGAGAATACGGCGATCCAGATCGATCCAACCACGAGGCGAATTCGACCAGATAGCGTTTCGCCTACGACGCGGTCGGCGGACAATGAGATCGCGCCGATTCGGTGATCGGAGGTGCAGCTGGCGGTCGAACGCGTGCTCGCCAACGTCGACTTGCCTCCTCTCCCTTTCGTACGCGCCCCGCTATAGCCAAATACGGTGCTCGAGTGTTTACGGAGCGCGGGAATAACTTAGGTAAGCGGCACACGCGACGGTTCCCTCGATTCGTTTCGACTAATCGTGCACGATACGAATTCACGAACGATCGGGGAACCCGTGCCGTGTCGTGTAACGAACATTTGCGGGGGCCAAGGCTGTCGGTCGTTGTTGTACCTGAGGTTACGACGTGTAAACGTGCTTCGAAATGATCGATAAACTCCGCGTTTTTGTTTGGAGTAAATCTCGCTGCTTAAAAATACGTTCGGGGGGAAACGGACACGAGGAAGAGGCGTCTCGTCGCGCGAAAAATAAAAAGAAGCAGATTTACGAGCGAAAGGATCGAACGCTTCTCGCTTGATCGAGCGTTAATCGAAGAGCGTACGTTTTTCCGTTGTCCGTTTACGGATCGTAAGTTTGGTCGAAGGCGACAGTGGTACATGCGCGCGCGGTTTTATATAGGTATTCAGGTACACGCAGGGTGTTCCGGAGCGTGAACGCGGAGAACGAGCGATAATCGAATTCGAATTGGACAGCTAAATAAACAACTTTGGTGGTTCGAGGCAAAAGTTTCGCGACACGATTTACGTCGTCGATAAAACTCGGCACGCGCTCGAAACTCGCGTCGCGTAGGTTAACAGTTCGGGCAGACGCCTTGGCCGAGGATGTTGGTCCGTGGCAAAAGCTCGTCGACCTTTCGCGAATTTCTCGCGAGGATAACGAGAAAGAAAGAATCCTTTTATCCGTGGCGGAGAAGTCGGACGACCCCGCCGGATCGCGTCGTACTTTACTGCATCTTTGGATTTTCCTTCCCCCTCTCCCTCGCTCTTTCTCCTCCTTCCCTGTTTCTCGCTTCCGACAACAGCGCTCGTTTCGATTCCACGCTTTGTTCGGCAAGAAAAATTTGCCCGTGAGCAGAGTACGGTGTCGTAAAGAAAAGGAAAGGTAGCTTGCAGCGAATCCCGAGGCGACCAGGACGGCAAATCCTGCGTGGAACTCTTAATTACGCCGACGCGATGCTTTACGAGCGTTGTAGTTTGTCGGTAAAAATGGCAGAAGACGCGGGATCGGTCGTTATTGCCCGTTAAGAGAAAGACGGTCGCCTCGGCGGATTCGCGCGACAAGCTGAAAATACACGGCACGGGCTTTATTCGACGACGCGCGACGCCGAGTACAAAACCTCTTTTCTCCGATCGCGCCGACTAAAAGGTGTTTACGTTTCCGCGATCGCTGTAATAAAAGGCGCGCGTGTATCGAGGGGACACAATAAATTGCTCGTTTCCAGACGCGTTCGAGCTCCGGCGAACGTTTTTGGTCGCGTC